CCTGTATTTATCCTAAGATGCTCGTTGTCATCAATTTTATTTTCCTTATACTCATACCCTCATTTTCACATAATCCATTACATTTTTCTATTTTTCTGTCCTATCTATCATTCTGTCTTTTTTTTTCTTTTCTCTTTGTACTTTTTTATTCTTTTCTTTCGGTTTTCTTCGCTTTTTTTACAACTTTAATTTTCTTTTTTTTCTATTATTTTGATATCTTTCTATATATGATGCTATATAATCTTTCGATTAATGTTCAGTTTTACGTTGTTTTTTTTACAGAAATGATCAAAACGTATGATTTTATTTTTTCTGTACAACTCAATTCTAACAGAAACAAAAACTGTAAATTGAAGAAAACTCAACAAACTTAAAAATAGAGGCTAATTTTGTTTTGTAAATAGATTATACCGATTGAAGTTGTTATAAAAAATAGAAAACGAGATCTATTGAATAAATTTAAATTCTTTCGACATAAAAATTTTTTTTCTACTAAAATCAAGTCACAATCCATGTAAAATGTATGAAGGTATACTTCTTTTGTTTTGAACAATAATGTTTGTTATAAACAATAGAAAAGGAGACCTATTCGATGTTTTTGAGTTCCCTATATCATGTAACGGAGTGTAATTCCATATATTTATTGTGTTCAATTTTCTCATATCATACTTTACTGTCGACGCAATCCGTCCAAGAACTTGAAAAAAGTCCTGAGCACTCATGCTTTACTTTGGAACGTCTTCCACTGGCTCAGTATTCTTTCAATCCTGAGATATGTCGGAATTCAGCAATTATTAATTAATCAACAATATCACGGCTCCAATGGATCACCGCGTACGTAAAAATAATTAAACATAAATGTTATTTGCATTGACTGCTAAATAACAAAATCTATAATCAAGAAATATAAATTATCAAAGTGACACAGCACCTGATAATTCTGTAACAATGAATCGAATCACATTACAATAATTAATTACTCCGTAAAAAGTAAATTGAAAATCCGACGATTTGAACTTACAACTGTACATAAAATTGTCTAAACAGTGTCAATGATTTTCAATTTAATAAACAACTGTAGAATGACTCTATGTCCTGTACGGATATTCAATGATGTAGAATAAAATTTGACATTTTAGTTAAATATTATTGAATTTTATTGAAATTTACTCATGAAATTTAAAATTCATCTATACTGACTAAAAATTACAACACATGTGTTAAGCATTTTTCAATGTGCACATTGCAATATGCTTCATACCGATGAGTTGATAACCCTAAAAGTTATTTGTCGATGTTTCTAAACAATTTCGAATGAAAATTAAATATTTATATTTTAACAACTAACACAAAAATAAATTTAATTGTATTCTTCGAATCGAAACAATGAATTCGTTTTATTACCATGAAATTTTCTGATATGCTCATTTGACATACGTATATGGTAATATCCTATCTATTAATTGAGATACTTTACTGTTATGTATCTAATTAAAGTCATTTTCTTAATAAGTCGATAACCGTTGAAGCAACGGCTTTAGATGCGCACGAGTTTGGCAGTTGTGGGTTCGGATCTCCTCCAGCATAAGCATTACTACAATATGGATTTTTTACAGTATTGTCACAAGCTAACGTTGTTCACCATGTAATATGTCAACGATGAACAGATCTCCGAATAATAGAAAAAATTTTTTATTTCATTGTTAATGAATGACTATCGAGGCTACTTCTAACCTGAAACTTTCATTTCATACATAGTGTAATTTTTAATAGATGAGTAAATTTCGATGTCCGTATAAGATGTACAGGAGTAAGTTTCAATGCTGAGTGTATGAAATTTACTTCGCAAACGTTTAATAAAGTTACTTTACAATTGTACATGTGAAAAACATTCATCACATGTATTTTAAAATAACTCAAGAAATTTTTTACAGTATCAACGAGATTTTACAATAAGTCTCTCGGATCTAGAGTAGCGGTAGATACTCGGCGCTATGTCACCTGAAATTTCTGCTCCTTATCCATCTATTGCCCCTCGTCAAACTATCGCGCTCTCGCGGCTCATATTTACAGTGCCGAGTAACACGCTACTCTATACTAAAAAGTTTGCGTGTGACGTCACGACACAATGTTTGATCGCATATATCTCGATAACTATTCAGCATTACGGGATAATTCTCAATATACAATTAATAATGACTGTTAGCTTTCATTTAAATTCAAAATGAGATTTATTCATTGAGTATTTATCGAGATACAGATTAGGCCACGCCCTTAATACCGTTTTTCGCACATTTCAACTCAATATTTAGCCTCTCCTTTGTCAGTCTTACCTCAATGCTATCTAACGCGGACCTCTCTCTCTCTTGGCCAAAATTTTCCTACGATATATATATATATATAGGTATACTCCCAATGTATAAATATAGCGAATGAATAGTTTATGTATTTCTTACGTTAATATTGATATAAAATACAAATAATCTCATTTATTTATAGATTATAATAAAACATAAATGATGTAGAACAGAAGTTTGTTCAATTTTTAGATATGAATAGTGTTGAGAATTAATCAATTTTTAGTTTGAATTGCCAGCTGACAGGAACTTCGGCGGCCATAACCAATCGACCTAGTAATCAAAAATTCTCAATCTAGTCACTCATTTGACTAATTTTCAGTGTCCTTTTTGACTAATGAAGTTCCTGTTGCAGTTTTTTTTTGTTTTCATTCACGTGTACATGCCATTCCAATTCTTTTCTAACAAATCTTGAATTTTTGAGTCAATCGTGTGGGAGGTCAATAATACCGAACACACCAAGTTAAGTATTTTTTAGACATTCAATTAAAATTCAGTAATTACAATTGACATTTATTTCTTTTCTTTAGTGACAAAAGGTTGTACAGTGTATGTTATGTATCTGTTACTGCTGAAAATAAAGATTCCATATTTCTTTTAAAACCTGACTACCGTTTGCTCTGTTCCGGCACAATCTTTCCTATCCTTAAACGGTTAGGCTAATTCAAAAGTTGAGATTTTCTCAACAAATTGTAATGTTTATTTATAACTAATTGAACAAGATAGAAAAAATGGCAACGAAATTTATTATAAATATTCAAAAACGGAATCTATGCAATAAATTCGAATTCTTTTAACGTGATTTTCTTTCTTTTACTAAAAAAAAGTTACCGACTATGTTACATGGATGGTGATAGACTCTGTTTGTTTATAACGACTGAATTTGTTATAAATAATTGAAAACTAATCTACAAAATCAATTTCAATTCGTTTAATTCATCTAAAATCAACTTGTTTTGCTTGTAATCATTGCTAAAAATAAAAAATGAATTAGAACAAACGTCTATATTTAATACTAATAGAATTTGTAATAAATAATCGAACTCGAAATCATCACGAAAGTTTGAATTGTTTTACTCAATATTTAGGAATTATATCCAGAAATCTTCTATCAATAGAGAACATTAAAAAATTGGGCCGCGTGTTGTGACATTTTTTTTAACTTACTACTTTTTCAGATTTAGTAGATGATTGCAAAAAAAATTTATTGTAAATTTTCATCTAAAGTTACTTTTTGAATCATGTCAAGAAAATTTGGAAAAGTATTTTTTTACATAATTCATCGAAAGTAACGAAAAAAAAGACTTAATTTTATAGATAACATAGTACTCCATTTGATTTCAAAATTTGTGCAAATAATTATTCAAAAATGAGAATTCGGTTATTTGCAAAGTCATTTAGGACGTATACATGGTGCAAAGTTTTACTTTCATCTGATGATGGCCGTTTCAGTAGGATACATCAAACACTGGACAAAAAATTCTGAATAAGATTTATGCTATCAAATGTTTTTCAATATTTTGATCAAACATTTTATCTATAATTTGTTACTTAAATAATTTTTTGATTAATTTTATTTTAATTAATTTTTTGTTTGTCTGTCTAAACAATAAATCTTCCTATCCATCTATCTATCTATTATTATTATTATATTACAGATCGCTGTTACTTTAGTGGATAATGATACTTATTTGTTATTGTTAAATAGTGTCAGCCGATTCATTTACAGCTATTCAACAGTCCTGACTGTTCTAGCATCCAACTATCCTAAAAAATACAGTCTGCATTTAATTCTGATTACCATTCCACTTGTAATCCATTTCATAGTTTTTCCACCAGCTCATTGAAGTCACAGCAGATACATTATATTTTTATTCAATAAATTTTTTAAAGATAAGATGAATTGTATTGTCATTAGATAAATAAATTTTGATACTTTAAAATAAAATTTTAAAAAACGGATAGATAGAATCTCTCATCATCAGATTATATACATGCATATATGAATGTACAGATATATTTTTCTTATGTACAAGTCTAATTAGTTATATTTACTGGTTCGATTGATATTAATTGAATAATTCAATTAGCAAAATATTAGTTTACTGGTTCAATTAATAGAATCTTACTATTTCCCATTGCGTCAGTAAGCAATAGTACAAATACTAAATATTCACTTAAAATTATTGAATAGTTACTACTTCCTCTTTAGAAAGTATAGTGTGCTTTTCGGCCATAGAGCTCAAAAAATCTATCCAATTCAACTTTCAAGTAGTAGAATTTCTTTATTTGCTCTACAGAGTTCTTCTTATAGGTTAATTATTTTTGAATCTTAAACAAAGTTTTGACTTGAGTAATCAGCATAGACAAAAACATAAAAGTTTCAAGAACGATAATTTATGTTCAGATAGCATGCGAATAGTCTTCTAAACAAACTGATAAATCAAAATTTGTGGGGCTTGTTTTCGAGCATATAGTATTTTTTACAAATACGATTAATTACATTGTGAGAAAATAAATTCATCTGAATTTCGTATTATAAATAATATATTTTTATGATTTTCATGGATTTTTAATGGATTGTAATTTTTATAGAGTTTTCATTATTATTTTGATACACATGCTTATTGAATGTGTTCTTACCCAGCGACCACAATGAAGAAATCAAGTCTATTCCATGCATCTGCTAAATATGTTCCTTGACCGTAAATGCCCATAGCAATCATTTTAATGATCATCTCAATCATAAAGAATAAAAATATGATATCATCCAAAATCTGTAATAACATTTAATGTGAGTATATATATATATATATATATATATATATATATATATATGTACAATGTATGTTTTGGGACCCAACTAGATAAAATCAGTAAAATATCGGAAAAAACCTTCTAAACCTGGAATACAGTCAATTTTAGAGTATAAACAATTAAATGAATAATTATGACGAATTAATTATTAAATGTATGTTTTACGGACTCATCAATAATCCGTATGCATTGGAGACTGTCGCTAGAATAAACATTTAATACATAATTGGAGACTGTCCCCGAAATATACATGCATAGATTGGGGACAGTTCCCAAAATATACATGTATAGATTAGGGACAGTCCCTAAAATATACATTTTATTAATTACAAGTTAATACTATGATTGGATTGAATGTATATTTCAGAGTCTGTCTCCAAAATATACAAGTATAGATTGGGGACAGTCCTCGAAGTATACACTTAAGTAATTACAAACAAATGCTATGAACGGATTTAATGTATCCCTTGGAGACTGTCTCCAAAATAACATTTGTCTGTATACAGTACAGGCTAATACTATGATTGGATTGAATGTATATTTCAGAGTCTGTCTCCAAAATATACAAGTATAGATTGGGGACAGTCCTCGAAGTATACACTTAAGTAATTACAAACAAATGCTATGAACGGATTCAATATATCTTTTGGAGACTGTCTCCAAAATAACATTTGTCTGTATACAGTACAGGCTAATACTATGATTGGATTGAATGTATATTTCAGAGTCTGTCTCCAAAATATACAAGTATAGATTGGGGACAGTCCTCGAAGTATACACTTAAGTAATTACAAACAAATGCTATGAACGGATTCAATATATCTTTTGGAGACTGTCTCCAAAATAACATTTGTCTGTATACGATCCAAGCTAACGTTATAATTGGATTAAATGTATATTTAGGAGACTGTCTCCAAAATATACAAGTATAGATTGGGGACAGTCCTCGAAGTATACACTTGAGTAATTACAAACAAATGCTATGAACGGATTCAATATATCTTTTGGAGACTGTCTCCAAAATAACATTTGTCTGTATACAGTACAGGCTAATACTATGATTGGATTGAATGTATATTTCAGAGTCTGTCTCCAAAATATACAAGTATAGATTGGGGACAGTCCTCGAAGTATACACTTAAGTAATTACAAACAAATGCTATGAACGGATTTAATGTATCCCTTGGAGACTGTCTCCAAAATAACATTTGTCTGTATACAGTACAGGCTAATACTATGATTGGATTGAATGTATATTTCAGAGTCTGTCTCCAAAATATACAAGTATAGATTGGGGACAGTCCTCGAAGTATACACTTAAGTAATTACAAACAAATGCTATGAACGGATTCAATATATCTTTTGGAGACTGTCTCCAAAATAACATTTGTCTGTATACAGTACAGGCTAATACTATGATTGGATTGAATGTATATTTCAGAGTCTGTCTCCAAAATATACAAGTATAGATTGGGGACAGTCCTCGAAGTATACACTTAAGTAATTACAAACAAATGCTATGAACGGATTTAATGTATCCCTTGGAGACTGTCTCCAAAATAACATTTGTCTGTATACAGTACAGGCTAATACTATGATTGGATTGAATGTATATTTCAGAGTCTGTCTCCAAAATATACAAGTATAGATTGGAGACAGTCCTCGAAGTATACACTTGAGTAATTACAAACAAATGCTATGAACGGATTTAATGTATCCCTTGGAGACTGTCTCCAAAATAACATTTGTCTGTATACAGTACAGGCTAATACTATGATTGGATTGAATGTATATTTCAGAGTCTGTCTCCAAAATATACAAGTATAGATTGGGGACAGTCCTCGAAGTATACACTTAAGTAATTACAAACAAATGCTATGAACGGATTCAATATATCTTTTGGAGACTGTCTCCAAAATAACATTTGTCTGTATACAGTACAGGCTAATACTATGATTGGATTGAATGTATATTTCAGAGTCTGTCTCCAAAATATACAAGTATAGATTGGGGACAGTCCTCGAAGTATACACTTGAGTAATTACAAACAAATGCTATGAACGGATTTAATGTATCCCTTGGAGACTGTCTCCAAAATAACATTTGTCTGTATACAGTACAGGCTAATACTATGATTGGATTGAATGTATATTTCAGAGTCTGTCTCCAAAATATACAAGTATAGATTGGGGACAGTCCTCGAAGTATACACTTAAGTAATTACAAACAAATGCTATGAACGGATTCAATATATCTTTTGGAGACTGTCTCCAAAATAACATTTGTCTGTATACAGTACAGGCTAATACTATGATTGGATTGAATGTATATTTCAGAGTCTGTCTCCAAAATATACAAGTATAGATTGGAGACAGTCCTCGAAGTATACACTTGAGTAATTACAAACAAATGCTATGAACGGATTTAATGTATCCCTTGGAGACTGTCTCCAAAATAACATTTGTCTGTATACAGTACAGGCTAATACTATGATTGGATTGAATGTATATTTCAGAGTCTGTCTCCAAAATATACAAGTATAGATTGGGGACAGTCCTCGAAGTATACACTTAAGTAATTACAAACAAATGCTATGAACGGATTCAATATATCTTTTGGAGACTGTCTCCAAAATAACATTTGTCTGTATACGATCCAAGCTAACGTTATAATTGGATTAAATGTATATTTCGGAGACTGTCTCCAAAATATAACTTTTATATCTGTATTAATTTTGTAAGTTCAATTCATGTATAGATTAGGGACAGTCTCTGAAATAAATTAATCTATCGCGGGCAAATACCTTACACAAATTCATCACGTAAAATGGGTTTCCGTAGGATCTTCTATAAAGATAATTAATAAAAAAATTATGAGTATTGCGGATTGTTTAAATCGAAACCTCTTATAAAAAAATAAATAAATTTGATCGAAGTTTTCAAATTACATAAATTTATAATTCGTACAATTAGCAACACTGTAGTCGCCCATGTGTATCTGATTTTTTTTTATAATTGACCGCAATATTAACAATTCTGTACCGTCATCTTATATACGGTATATAAAATTCTTGACATGAAGATATACTAGTAAAATTTTTATGACGGCACTAGTGCCACCTATTGCTGCGTCTGTCGAATTTGAGCAGGCGTCAAAGCATACGTTTAATATATTTTCGAAATGTCCCCTAAACATACATTTAATATAAAGATATTTTGGGGACCGTCCTCAAAGTGTACAAATGTCCCCAAACTATTCGTCCGCTCGAAAATATGTCTCCGAAACATACTTTGTGCATACATATATATATATATATATATATATATATATATATATATATATATATATATATATATATACATAAATCTAATCAGAGTGTCACTTGGGGAAATTCTTTAAGTACAAGGTATTGTTTGAGAACATTTGTACAGTTTAGGAACAGTCCCAAAAAAAAATCATGTATCCAACGTATTATTTAAGCCACTCGTCTATACATCAGGTATTATTGGAGGACACGACGTTGCCACGTTGTGATGAATTTATTTTTGTTTTTTGAAAAAAAAGGTAAAAATGAAGGCAAAGGTACACTGTAATTGCATACGCTGTACTTGTAGGGTTATTTTTTTTTCTTTAACCGGGAATTTTGACAATCGAGAAGGGGATACCAATCACCTGTTCTAAATAATACATTAGATAGATTTATATATAAATATTGATGTTACGAATGGTTATATAATGATTGCACAAACCTGTAATATCTTACAGCGATGAGTTGCACATTTATCATCGACACACGGTTGATACATTCCCAGTGTTAAACAATTCAATAAAATAACTATCATACTAACTCGCTCGAACCATGTATGCACTTATTCAATTAAGAAAAAATACACGCGTTTTTTTGTAAAATTGATTTATTAATTACAGAAATGTATTTAGTTATTTCGTATTGATTGCTAATTTATATAAGAAATCAATTGCATTGTTCAGAATATCATCTGTTAATGTTAGTTAATTTTCAAGCATTATGCTTTTTTTGGACTAGAAACAGAATTCTTTGTTGGTTATACCGGATTATTAAGAATGTTATGTGATAGGCAAATACTAAATTTTATGAGCTTATGTCAATTTCTATCCAATTTAACAGTATTTGATCAACTATTAAAACAAAAGTTACAACTCCAAAAACATCGGTCGGTATGCTTGACGCACATTTTCGTACAGCCCAAAAAGAGAGGTCTGTTTTTGTTAAGATCTATATTCAGTTGTTATATCTGAATATTCATCACATAAATGAATCATTATTTACTAATTATAAGAAAATAAATTATCATAAATGATAAATTATACTCCCTGCGTGTTGCATACAGATTTCGATGGACTTATCTAGCTATGAATGATAGAATAATATATTAAATGATCAAATGGAGGAAAAATAAATGGTTTACTAATTATAAGAAAAATAAATTTATCATTAATATGTGTCATGGGAGTTGCTTGCCGATTTGTATGAATTATCAGAACCTATACAGCCTTTGTATATTAGTGAATCTTAATAATTCTATTCGTTAGTAAATCTTTATTGACGGCATGTATATTCTACACGTAGCTTCGATATACTGGAAAGCATATTACAATAAACAAAAAATTTGTGTATGAACGATTAAATCAATTGCACAGTTACATTCGAATTGTTCTTACAAACACAATCGAATATCAAAATAGAATAAATTTTAAAATTCAGACAAAAGAAACCAGATCGTACAGGCAAAATATCCATACAAATCGGCATTAAGCTCAAGAAATAAAATTCTTCTTATCCCTTCATTCGTTAATTTAAAAATTTATTTTCCGATAAATTCTCTACAGTTCGTCTCAATTTTTCCTAGACGTAAATAAATGTGTTCGAAAATTCAGTTTAAAAATTAAGCTATCATCATGGATAATGAAAGATTAGCATTTTTCCTATAGACAATATAAACGAAATACAGAAACTATTATATTAGATCAAAATGATTTACTTATATTATGGACAGTCTATAAAATTCATGATGTTCGTAAAAAAAAGTTTAGTGCAAGTAATAATATATCGTTTAAGATTAATCGTTATCATGCTTTTTTTTTTAGTGTTCACCGAATCGTTCTTACTTTCTTTTAGATAGATCTTAAGTTTAGTAGCCAATACTCCTTTAAATTATTTTTTTAAGATTTTCTTACTCAACAGTAATGAACTACAATCTTTTATAAATCTGTTAAATTTTTTGGTATGTTTTCAAAACGGAGTTTTTTATGGGGGCGTTATAGGAACATGTAAGTACCAACAAAAACTGTTCGTGATAAACTAGCGCTAAATAGCTATGTTTCTTCTCCTACACTCACTATATGCAGAAAAAAAGGAAAAAAAGTAATCTGTCTGCTCATATAGCTTATTTTTTCTTCAAAATCTTAAAAACAACAACTTGCAGATCAAGTCAGAGCACATATGAATTTGAAAATTTTCGCAAGAAAAGAATAAAATCAGTCTAGATTCTTCACAATCAATAGTTTTTGAGTTATTTTATGTTTAATGAAAAAGAGTCATTTGATTCACTATTTTGCGGAATTTAAAAAACTAAAAGAATTCTTTTTATATGTACACTAATACATACATGAATAACTGTATATTCATTGAAAAAAATTAGTCAATATTTATACGGCAATTATTATTTTATTTTACAAAATATTTTTACCAAAATTTATAAATGAAATTTGTATCGCATAGCGTAAAAATTATTCACCTATTTAGTGTTCTACAGGGCTTGTTTGATTAACCAATTGTAATTCCTTGACCATAATAGTCTATATTCTATAAAGTAGATATTTATGACATAAAGAATGATATTAACAAATTGTATTCTTATTTTGTTATTAAAAGGATATGGATTGGTAATAAGTGCAAGACACCAGTTGCGTGGGCGTGTAGATTGATAAAGATATCGTAGAGCAACTGGTGCAAAACCTGGATAAGGTATTTCGTGATTGTCAATGGTTTCTAAATGTATACGTTTGTCTTCCATTTTCTTCGTTTCATTTTCATGTTTAGGTCGATCAATTTCTTTGCTTAATTCAAGTTTTCGATGTTTTTTTTCTGAGTGACTTTGCATAATTTTTAAGTTACTGAACATTTCCATATTTGTATCTAATGCGATAACTTTTCAGTGATTTTTTAACTGAGAAAAAGCATGTAAAAGGAATTATATGTAAACTATGATAAAAATAGTGCCTTCCACGACACCATAAATCAATTTTATTCTTTTATAACTCTAAATCAGAATCGACCTGAGACAGATTTTTATTCATTTTCTTTACAGTGTATAAAATGTTGACTACTGATACGACATCACAAATTCTCAGATTTAATTCTTCAATACAACATTTATTTGATAACAATCTTTGCTTCTTTTGAGTGATTAAACAAAATTTAGTACGAGAACGATTCACATCTACAAAAAAAAATCACGCTTCTGTCACTAATACAATATAACTTCAATTTACAACTGTATAAATCATGAATTTATTGTTAATTTAGATTGGTAAATTTCTTTCTCAGCTAGAACACACACTCAATCGATGGCACGACAAGCTCGAAACTACACATGCTTCTGAACGATACTACACATTACGACTATTTGAGACATGCGCGTTCAGAGGTATGTTCTCGTGATTTCGATGGAAATTTTGTTTTGAGGTAAATTTCAGCTAACTTACTCAAACCTGTGTTTACTAACAAAGATCTTATTTTACAGCATTCAAAACTGATAAAAGTTACTAACTTAAAAAAACAGAAATTTATGGAATATTGTTCGTAATTAAACTCATATGTTATTTAGAGAAAAGTCTTCAACCTGCAGTTTGATGAAATTTTTTTACTTTTCTAAAGAGATTTAAATTTATGGTTAAAGATTTTTAAGTAAACGAGGTGATATGTAATGATGTATAGCAATAGATAATGATAAATGTTTACTTAGGAATTTAGATAAATTTTTTAAAACACGATTACTTATAAAATTATAGAAAAATGTACTTATCCATCAACATCGAAATACATAAACTTTGTCCTTATATTCGGTATCGCAAAACATTATATAAAACTATAAATTATATACGGAGAAAGTTGAATGATCGCTATAATGAATACAACAATAAATTGTGATTGTGGTAACTAAAAGATTGATAATTTCAACCAGTTACATAGTTACAACAATCATGTTTATGGTAAAGGCTAATGTAATTTTTTGATGTTAATAACAACCTTTCATAGTTAACAATTTTGAATTATTAATACCATTTTTTTATTGTTAGTAAAATACTGAAATTGTACATAACAATGTTTAATTGTTACAGAAAATTTTTATGCAATGTCTGAGTGTATTTCAATTATTTTACATAATTATTTAATATATAATTTAAGAAAAGCTAAAGATGAATAGCAATAAAACTTAAGGGTCGAGATTAACGATTATTACTCAAGTTATTTTTTATTGAGTTTTCCTAAGATTATATTAAAATGGAACGGATTTCGAAGAATAGTTGAAGAAATCATCTCTTAGACATTTTATTGGTTTTGGAAAACCCACGTGGCGAAAAAGCAATAAAACTTTAAAAAAAGAGTACGTGATGTAAGAAGAGCGTTAGCTTCCCAGAACAGCAAAGAACCATGCAAAGACACTTGCGCGCGCCCGAAGCAAGGGACCCCTAATTATGTCACATTCGACTAAATAAATATGTGAGGTTTGATGCATCAGCCAGCTGTCGAAAAAGTAAGAACGAGATCAAATCACCTTGGAACATCTCTTAGGCGGGGAGCCGGTGACACTAAAAGTGCACTTATACGGATTCCAGAATTTTGCATAGGAATTGATAGTATTTGGTTATAGGTACAATATAGGCCTGGTGTGCCAAAGCCTATCTGTATTTTTTTATAAATTTTTGTTTTTCTAATAATTATAAGTGATTTGTACTTCCATGGAAATTAATTTTTTAAATACCATTTTACAGTAAATTTTATGTGTTTTCAGAAAAATTCGGTGTAACAACTCTTATCGTGGCAGAAAAGGCTGTCACACCGACTTTTAATATCTAATGTTCATAAAATTTTTCCCTTATCGCGGAATTACTTTTCTTTTTATTTAATGCCTTTTTTCAAGTTTTTCTTGTAAAATATCTCGGTGTGACAGCTTACAACTTGACCAAAATATTTGTCACACCACTTTATATTACAGCTTCAACCCTTTAAAATCATGAAATGGAGCATATTCAAATCTTTTTCTGTCTTGTTTGTAATTTTCAACACAAAATACAGTCTATGTTGTCCATAATTTCTTTTTTTTTTACTTTAAATTTTTGAATTGAGCTATTCTTACTATGTATAATATTTTATATCTGAGTTATCCTAAAAATCTTGAAAATGTTTAGCTCATCGTTGTCGGTCCAATTTCGCTTTAGAACCCTGTTAAACAATACCACATTTCGATCAGTGTGATTGTTCATTTATTATTTTAAAAGTATCTGTCACACCAGTTAGATTTAGACTTCAGAAACATAATATTATATTTTTCTTATTTTATTTAAAATTCAGTTATTGAAGAAATTCATCAACTAATACCAGGAAGGAATGTATAAGTCATTTAATTGATACAAATGTATTACTGGAAAACATTATTTATTTATAAAATACAGCATTTTATTTATTCATAATTTTGTTAATTTTTATACATTAGTTATTTAATAAATGCAGGAACAAGAGAAAGCTTATACAAGCTATATATAAACATCATATATTATTGAAATTCGACAAAAAGTCAGTCAAAATCATCTATATCATCATATCCATAATAACTATTTCTTTAAGATTCTATATCTTCCTTTTTATTTTCCTCTCGATCCTAATAATTTTGAACAATTTCTTCAAGAGTAAGAGGAGATGCCTGGTCAATATACTGTCTTGAACGTTGTTTTAATAATATTTGAAAGTTTGTGAATTTTTGTATAAAAGTTATTCGATCGTCAAACTATTTTTTAATTATTATTCAAATAATTCGCAAGTAAAAGTGAATACTGCGCTGACTGTAGCAACGACTAAGGACGAATGAATTATAATACATCTCAAGCTGAGTTTAAGTAATCATCTGTTGGTAACGTTTCAATTGTTATTATAATTTTTTAATAATTTTCATTTAATAAATTTTGTTATTGTTTTTACATAAATCACACATGTTTACTTCCTCTATAGTCTAGTAGCCGTAAAATTAAGCCCTATGCTATCGTGCATTAATTATAGAATAGGAATAAAAACTTTTTAAATTATATACTATCGATGCAGGATTACTTGTATAGGCATGCAAAAATTGGGCCTTCTTCACTCCGTCCAGCAATCCCTTAGCTGACTATTCATTTTTTCGTTTCAAAAAATTTTTTTTTTATCTTTATCTCTCACCGTTATCGAAATATAAGCATTTGTTTATAGAGATATCGTATATTTATAAATAAAATGGACGCAAGTGATGTTATTCGTATTGTTTATCATAGATCGTGGTGAAAATGCAATAATTATAAGGGAAACAATTTAAATGTAATAAATCGTTAAAAGCAGTAGATTGTTTATATAATTGTTAAAAAAGTTATTTTTCTATACATAAATAATTAAAAACTGATGTTATTTATATTAATTTATTACGTTATCGAATTATTTCTTATTAATTTGAATTAATAATTAACGAACATCGGAACACGGACGCAAAAGAATAATCTTCAATTGTGACTAACGATACTTGACCTTTTCCAGCTCTATTTGATTGTTATTAACAATGTTCGATCATTATTAACAACATACATCAATCGAAGGAATACATCATTATTGAAATTATTTAATGCGATCAGTAATTAATTTTTTATACTATATTATTGATTTTTATATTACTAATGTCTCAGTAATTCAAATTTTTTATGCTTAAATTATTTATTAGTTAAGTAATTTAAAATTTCAGAACTTCGATTATCAATTTTTCATCAATTAGTAATTTCAAAATTCCATTATTTAGTATCAAATTATTCTATAGTTTCTGAATTTTCATTTGTATTACGCGTCAATTAGTAATTTCAAAAACTAAGTGGGTAAATACACCAATTTCATAAGAAAATTAATGGTCGAAATTATTTCCAATTAGTAAACAAATTAATTATTGCTCCACTTACGCACTGTCCTCAATGTCAACGATCACAGATCAATTTGTGAGTTTGAAACACACATTATCTTTCAAGTTTTTCGAGTAAGTTTTTCTTGTGATCGTGTGAATTATAAAATTAAGCAAGTTTTTCAAAGTACGATTACGATAAGTAAAGTGCAATGTTCTATAAATTTATTATATTCACAATAATTCTTGAGTAATAATCATGTGAGCCATCTAAGGTGATTAAAGTCATTGTCGTAGATAGTCCATAACCTCACTTATAAACTTACTTAACATCACTGATCTATCTATAATACTCTCAAGAAAAATTTTTATGAATCAATTTTACGGATTCGTTCCCAGAACCATGTCAACTTTGGAACTTTTTTTAGATATAGCACAGCCCTAAGAATAAACGATGTAGGGCATAATATACTAAAATTTTTCTAGCTGGTCACCTCCTTTGAAATAAGATTTTTTCAGAGCATAACTTATCTCTCCATAAATACTTTGTGTAGTCAGCGTATCTTGTATTTTTTTACCCAAAAATTTTTCTACTGCAAATCTTTGCAAAATCATTAATCCATCTATATCTTGAGAGAAATGCCCCGTGGAAAACATCGATTAAGAAAAAATTCTTTGAGAAATGAAGCTAATACAATGCATTGACATGTAGTTGCATAATCTTAAGTTGCTATGAAATCTAGAAAAATGTCCTGTGGGGGGAAACACGAGTAGGGAGGAAAAAGTGAGGAGTAAGACCTACCCTCTATTTATTGGAAGATTTTTTTTCAAAAATTACCAGTCTTGCTACATCCATAAGTCTTGTAAAATTGTATTATAAATATGAGAAAGTGGTTAATAAGTAATGAGTTTTACAAGTTGTACATTCGAAACAGACTTGCGTTAAATCAAACTTTATGTAAAACAATTAAACAAACTGTGCCAAAAGCGTATTTTGAATTAAAAAAACTTAAACTAGGAATCATTGCCGGTGGATTCGCTTCATATTTATTGAAATATACTAATATATATGCAGATATCGATTATTGGATTATTCATCATGAATGTTTTATAAATAATGATGATATAGAACAACAAAATGACTACTACAAAATCAATCGATACATTCATAATTGTAACACTCATGATATTCCTGATATAAATGCATTAATGCATGTATTTAATCATCAAAGAACACCTTTACAAGTTATTCATATACAAGTTACAAAAGAAACATTTGATACGTTATTTAAGAATGATCAAATTTTTATCAATCCATATTTTTAATTGATTGATTTGATGTTTGATAGTACTATATGTAAAAAGGGAATATAACCATTCAGTGGATATTTTTTTGATCTAAATAGAAGCACAAATTATAATTATCAAACAAAAAAAC